CCTTTTTGTGTGTTTGTGTGTGTGTGGAAGATATAAAAGATTATTTCCTAGTTTGATGTACTTCAATAGCCTCATGTTTGATATACATGTTTTAATTTAAAATAGGAAGCTCACTAGTAGTCTATGAAGCAAAGACACGGACACGTGTATCGGACCTGATGACACGCAATTTTTTCAAAAAAATATTGACACGACATGTTGATAAAATCTTTAAAATTCTTCATTTATATAGTATAAATTTAGTTTTATACATGTTATTAATTTTTCTTGTCGAAATCTTTTAATTATGAGTGTCTATTTGTTATTTAATGAAAACTTTTAGTTAAAAATATGTACTATTTTTTGATAAAGCAAAAAAAAAAAATGACAGTGACACAGAGTGTCGAAAGAGTATCGGTATCCAACAACTATTCAACATGTGTTGGACACAAACATGTTACTCTAGTTGAAGTGCCCATGCTACAGAGTTAGTGGTTATTGATTTTTTTTAATTGAATTTTTAATCACATTATTGTCTTGCTCCAGTTCATATTCTACTCTTAATTTTGGCACCTACAGATAATGAAGCTTAAGATTTTATTACAAGACTTCGTGGTGTAAATGATTTCAATGGTCAACAATTGTAAAATTGTTACTCTCTTTTTTCGATAATTTTCAGCATTATCAAGAAGTTGGAATCCATTAATACTGTGATTTCATCTATTTGGTGGGTGTTCGGATTTTATTGGACTGTGACGGGTGGCCAAGCGCTTCTACAAGACTCTCCCCGGCTATACTGGTATGTTGTACGTTTAACATTCGAACATGATCACCCAATCTAAATGAAATCCTTGAATGATCTCAGAAATGTAAAACGATTTTAGCAGTTTTGCAGTTCTCATAAAACATGTACCATTTCGAGGCAATGCTTTTGATTGAAGAAAATAGCTGTTGTAACGCAAAATAGTGATTTAGTTTTTTAATTCATATGAAGATTTCTTCCCCAATTCAGAAATTCACCAGGATTAGAAAGAATGGAATTTTTTGAATCCCCATCCCAACAGAACACAAAAATAAAAGATCCATCATCAAGTAAATGACATTTTTCGATTTGCTTTTACAGCATGAGATGCACTACGACCTCCCTCAAAAATTCATTCTCTAATTTGCAGGTTATCGGTGGTTTTTCTAGCCTTCGACGTGTTCTTTATGATCTTCTGTATCGCAATGGCCTGTATCGTTTTCTTTGCATTGTTCTGTTGCTTTCCTATCTTATCTACAGTTGCCTATGCTATGACTATTGGAGAAGGAGCATCTGAAAATGATATTAGGGCACTTCCCAAGTATAGATATCGCCTGCCCAATGCTTCGGGAAATGATAAGAAGCAAGAAGAAGTTAGTATAATTTCAGAGTCTGATGACAGTAGTCCCGCAGCTGAACTCGCTCTTAATCTAGAGGATTCTGTAAGTATTTATGCCTCCATCTCGCTGTTTTCTTTTTCCGTTTCAGGTCAAACGAAATTTTCTTGTGTTTTTCATACGATGTATACAATTCTCCTCGCTATTTTTCATTTGTGTTCAATGGGGAACTTGAGATTTGATAATGGGAAGGAAGAAAACAAGTTTTTGATGGTTGGGGTTCCCATACTTCAGCAATGGTTACTTCAAGAAAATCGTTTGTTTAAATTTAACCATTTTGTGTGTACTGAACTACTGATTGTCGCATGTATTGTCTATTACTCTATTAGAATATCTCTGTTTGTGTACTGATTGTTGCGTGTATCATCTATTAGAATTTCTCCTAGTTGTTTCTGAACAATTTTTTCTCTGCTCCTGTGTTGCCAGCTTTACTTGACAAATAACTGATGCACTTGGTCACCTTTTTTCCCTAGTTTTGTTCGTTTTGGTGATGAATGTGTGTCTACTCAAACTCGCACTATGATTTATTTTTCCTTGTAGGAGTGCTGCATATGCCTTTACAAGTACATTGATGGTGTTGAGTTGTGTACCCTTCCCTGCAACCATCATTTCCACCATGAATGCATTAGCAAGTGGCTGCAGATTAGTGCAACCTGCCCTCTCTGCAAACTTAACATTCTCAAGGGTAAGACGTCGGTATGAACATTGGCAAATTATTTTCGCAGAAGGAGACCATAGAGACGTATGGGGGTGCTCCTTTTCTTGGATTCTGCCTGCTAAATGTACAGTAGGAATGCAAATTCTGTGCATAGTTGCTCAAGGAATCTTTTTTTTTTTTTTTCAGTTTTTGCTTTCCAATGAATGGTGTATTTAACTTCACTCAACTTAATTATGATATTTGCAGATACTTGCGCTTTATTGATCAATTATATGCCTGAAATAAACCCAGATATATAAACAATTTATATAATAAAATCAAGGGATTTTAAGCCACCCCTGTGCCACAAAAAATAAACATTGGGCTAGTAAACCCGTCTTGGCCTGTTTTGCCACCCCTACTCCTTGGGAAGATAGTGAGATTGACAGCATTATCTGCAGCAAGTCTATCTGTGATTTCGACGTTGATGTATATGTGCTTGTGCAGAACACGTATTTGAAACCATTGAGATGCTCATAACACAGGTTATGATCAGTCATATCTCCATACTAACGGCTACTTTGCAATCAAGAAAGCCCGTCTTTGGGAAGTTCTACGAGCCAAGCTTCACTTTACGTCACTCTCTTTACATGTCAAGATACACCTACAATTTTGGAGTCAATCTTTCAATTTTGAGTAGATGCCGACGTCCATCAGGCATCTACTCAAATTCAGAGAGTAAATCCACCTTTGTACTAAATGGAAGTTCCACTAAGAGTAAGTAGCTTGTTATATCGTTCATAAGGTTTTGCCTTTAATCACAGAAGCAGGGAAAAATAAACAAGTGACCAAAGCAAACTCCACAACAAGAAAATTGGGGCAAAGAAAAAGAAAACTCATTCTGAAAACGTACATATGCTCGTCCAAAAAACTTGAACCCACAGAAACGAAAAATGATATCTACTGATATTTTAAACGTGACTACATTAAACAAGGATTCAAAGTCGCAAAAGATGAATTTCAATGACACAGTAAGGAAACGAGTTAAGATTTACACATTCTTGTTCTTCTTCAACTTCGAAGGAGGCCATCGTCCCTTCTTCCTCAGGTGGCGCTTCCTAACAAGCCTCTTTCTCCTTAGCCTAATCTTCTTTGCCGCCTTCATCCTCATCTTCTGCTCGAGTTTCAGCTGTAACTTGGATTCAAGAGGAAGGTTCTCAATGGGGACATTTTCCTCATTACTTTCCGAGGGAGGGACAGGAGACTCCAGATCAGTGGAGCCTACTCCATCAACATCAGAAGTTGCCTTAAAAATCAATGTACCTCTCTCCTTGAGGATAAATGGAGTTAGAGTTCTGTACCCAACATATGATTTTCGCCTCAAACAAACAGAATTGCTGCATGACCTGGAGACTGATAAAAGAACCCAATTACAAAATTCAGTAACATTATCAACTTCACAAACAAGATTGGAAGTGGAAATCGACAAGAACTACAAACAAAAGTTGCTGGTTTTAATTTTTTTCCTATGATGAGCAATCTAAACTACTGAATTTGAGAAGCTTAGTTTTAGTTCATCACCATGTATCCAGCTAATCAAATCCTTGGTAAAGACTACAAAAGTAGGATTCAGACGATCCTCCAAGAAGCTTGATGTCCAAAATATGATATGCTTACAAAAGTTAGTACATACATATTCAAGATGAAATGGAGACTACACGTTCGATAAAATATGCCAAAGAAGCTGCCTCGTTCAAGAGGGGCCTAAAAACAAATAAACAATTACAAAAAAACAAAATGAATGGATCTACATTATATATAACCAAAATTCTATCTCTATGTCAACAAATTGATAATTAAGAAGCAAAGGCAAATGCTTCAGTCAATAGTTTTTCTCTGTGCGAGTATGTATCGAAGGGATAAATCAGTGCACAAAGAAAACGAAAACCCAAAATTCCTTAACAAGAAGTAGAATTAAAAACAACATATATATATATATCAAAATTTCCACAGCCAAGATAATGAGCGACAGTCAAAGACATATTCATACACAAAGAAATTCATACATATCGATAAATAAATGTAGAACGCTGCAATAAATAAGGAAGCATTATCGTACCTGAGTACTAAAAAAAAAGAAGAATTTTTCTACTTACATGGGTGGGCAGTAATTGCAGAACGAATCGATGAAGGTGAGACAGAGGAGAGCGGAGTGGCGGGAGTGCTGGTAAAGAGGAGGACAGCCATTTCTCCTACTGGCATTGGGTTTTCTTGGATAAGCCTATCAGCACAATTTTGTGTTGTATTTTATAAGAAAAATTTCACTACGAGTCCCCTTTTAATTTTGTAGCATTATTGGTCAACTTGTGCCGAACTTTAAAAGTTTTTTTTGATGGTCATTAAACTTATCAAATCGTTATTCTATTATTAATTAAATTTAAAAACAAATTCTAATGATCCCAAACTTATCAATTCGTTATCTCATTCATTATTCAATAACTCGTTAAAAACAATGACGGATCCTCTGACGTGACAACTAAAACACTGATATGGCACATTATTGTTGTTTGTTGACGATATATCAATCAAAAACATGCTTCCATTTATTGAATATCGTTGCTCGTGTAGTTTATGGTCTTTATCCGATGATATTAAAATGTCACTTTTCACACAATTTTAGTTTCACCGTCCTCTTTAAAAAGTTGTTTTAACTCACTGCTTAATTCACTCGACATAGAAATCAACACGGTTTAGAATATGAATTTTGTTAATTCTGTGTGCCCACTGCCCCATGAAGTCTCACTTTAGAAATGTCACCAAATTCTTTCTGTGACTTAATTAAAACAAATTTGTAAGTTTGGTGACTAAAGTGAAACAATTAGAAAAATTGGTGACCGATAAATTCGCTATATGCGTCTGTAACCCTAACTTTCTCCAAACTTGACCGTTCGGAAAAAAACTCTGTTAACCCGTGGAAAAATGGGAATTGAAGAAGGAGAGGGAAGAGAAGTGAAGTGATATTCAGAGATATTAGGAGATATTATCGTGAATACTGTGGCTTTTGTCGCTCCAAAAAATCCCTCATCTCCTCACATCCTCCTGCACCATAAGGTGTGCACCTGTAGGTGTATATATGTATTTTTTTTTTCCATATATATTTGTTTTGAAATTTACATTCGTGTTAAATTTTTGTATTTTTAGCTGATAATATACGCACACAAGATTTTAATTGGTTGTTGGTTCCGTGAAAGTATTGAAAATTATGGGTTTTGTAAAATATAGTAAGAAATAAAGCACATATTATTTGTTATAAATTGTCTCATTGCTTATAAATTTGCGACACCTTGATACTAATTAGAAATTTATGTAAATTATATGCGTGATGCCTGACCACCTGCCCACCTCTAGTAGTATTTACAATTTTACCAACATCTGGATTGCAATTTGTTATTAGACAGTGGGATTTGTGTTAATTTTTGGAGTGGCACTTAAGTGCTAGCTCTGTTTCCTATAATATTACACTTGCTGGATAGAGATTTTGTAGGATTGGTGAAATTTTGTTAAAAGATGGAGTTTGTGTGAATTATAGGAGGAAATGAAGGAAAGAGAGCAAAAGGAAGAAATAAAGGAAGGGGGAGAAATGAATACTTGTGACGAGTGTGGTGCGAGTTTCAAGAAGCCGGCTCATCTGAAGCATCATATGCAAAGCCATTCCCTCGAGGTAACTTGTGTACTTTTTGGGTCAATTTATTGATCATCACATCCATTGTTATTGCAACGTGGCGCGTTTCGTTTGCCTATGTGATTTGTTAGTCTGCATTGAAGCTTTTGTTAAACTGCTTTTATATTGGAATTGCCACGCGGAAAAATATTTTATGGAATGAAAGGAGAAATTCTAATGCATGATACACAAACACGATTCTTTTGTGTCTATGAATCATAATTAAATGCATAAATTACACTAATTTGTCTATGTGAGTTATTGAAATGGTACTGGCCTTTTTATGCACTTTGTGCTATTTTCTGAAATTGTCCATGTTCTAATACTTCAAATAGTAGATTTTACTTGTTGCTGTGTTTCAAGTTTCAACTTGTTTAATAACACTCTTCTTATTTCTGGTACCTTTGCAAATGAAGAAATATGATGTTGCAGATTGAAGTGGTTTGGAAAAAAATTGTTATGGCTGGGCGTGAAGAGCATTGGACCCCACAGAAAAGAACTCCAAAATGCAAGAGGCAGCAACATTACTTTGAATGGATCAGTACCAGGTGGGGGACCACCTGTGAAGCTCCATCAAGTGAGCCTCAATCACACTCGTACTGATTTGACGTGGGGAAAAAAAATTGCTTAATAGATGGGTGTGAAGCATTGGATCCCACGGAAAAGAACTCCAAAATGCAAGAGGCAGCAACAATACCTTGAATGGATCAGTACCGGGTGAGGGACCACCTGTGAAGCTCCATCAAGTGAGCCTCGATCACGCTTGTACTGCTTTAAGGTTTGAGGACTGCGTTGGTTTTGTATTGGAATAGAGCTCAAGTCTCTTCTCAAAGGGAGGTTATACAAAATTCTGTTCTTATTGTAACTTGTTCTGTTAACAGAGGCCTTTTACTTGGCCTGTGGATGACTGCCACTCCTGCTACAGGAGGAAGGACCACTTGGCCCGACATCTGCTTCAGCATCAAGGGAAATTATTTGAACGCCCCGTGCAGGACTGTAAACACCGATTTGCTTTTCAGGGTAATATGAAGCGTCATATGAAAGAGTTCCACGACGAATCTGCTTCTGATAATGTCGAGCGTTCCAAGGAATATACCTGTCCGAAAATTGGATGTGGAAAAGTGTTATCCATCCAAATTGGGTAAACACGAAGACTCCCACGGTAAGTTTTCCTTTCGGAATTTCTCTCCGGAGGAAAGAGAAAGAATAGAAGTAGATCCAACATCTGCAAGACTCGAGTTCAAGTTCGAATTAAATGAATAATGAATATTAATAATAGAGGAATGGGGGTAGAGTAGAAAATGCAGATCTTAAGCAAGTTATGTTTGAATTTGATAGTCTTTGTTGGCTTGCCGAACAATGTTAACGTATGTGTATGAGCCATACTACCTACCTTTTCTGAACCTTTTGCACACTCGTTGGATGCAGTTAAGTTGGATGCAGTCGAGGCATTATGTTCAGAACCAGGCTGTATGAAATATTTCACGAATAAACAGTGCCTTATGGAGCATCTCTTGTCTTGTCATCAGTACATTGCCTGTGAGCTATGTGGTGCCAAGCAGCTGAAGAAGAACATTAAGCGTCATCTTCGAACACATGAAGTTGGGATTTCCTCGGAGAGAATCAGGTGTAGTTTCGATGGTTGTGTGCATAAATTTTCAAATGTAAGCATCCATAGCATTTCATCCAACTACATTCACTCTTTTCCCTCAGTTGTCCATTTGCTTCTAAGCTTTTTAACCTGTGCTTTGCTTGGCTCGTACAGAGATCAAATCTCAAACAACACATCAAAGCTGTGCACTTGGAACTTTAGCCATTTACCTGTACCGTTCCTGGTTGTGGCATGAAATTTGCATTCAAACACGTGAGAGACAACCACGACAAATCTGGGTGCCATGTCTACACTCAGGTAATATTTTCCATTTAGTTTTGCCAGTTTGTTTATTATGCTTCATCATATTACAGTCCAACTATTTCTTTTTGACCTCTTGCTTTACAGGAGATATATCTGATATTTGAAATTTATGGCCACCTGTGTTCAGGGAAATTTCGAAGAGGCTAATGAGCAATTTCAATTAAGATCAAGAGGTGGCAGGAAAAGAAAGTACCCGGTTATTGAGACTCTGATGCGGAAAAGGGTTATACCACCTAGTGAATCAGATCCTGTTATGCGCGAGGGTCCACAATACTTATCATGGTTACTTGATGCAGAATCTGAGGATTAGCTGGAAGATGCATTATTCTCCTCCGTTTGTTTATAACTTGGATGTTTAGGCAAGCTCGATGTGTATATTTGTTGATAGTCTTTATTGTATACTTAGGCTCCGTTTGATTGGCGGAGTTTTCCAGGGAAGTAGGAAAATATTTTAGGCAAGCTCGATGTGTATATTTGTTGATAGTCTTTATTGTATACTTGGGCTCCGTTTGATTGGCGGAGTTTTCCAGGGAAGTAGGAAAATATTTTCCTACTTTAACTTTTTTGACTGTTTGATATGCGAAATTTTCCACGGAAAACGTTTTCCTCCCTTTTTCTAGGTACAACCCTTTGATGCACAAATGATGGAAAATGTTTTTTCACCTAATAGGTGGGAAAACATTTTCCAC